GAACATATAGCGGCAGACTACAAGTACCCTTGGTATTCCGTAGTCACATGATAACCATGATGAAGAAGCAAGGAAGGCACATCCAAATATCACCAAAGAATAAGAGAATAAGATAAATTTTACAGAGCCAGCTTAATGGAAAGAATAAAATTCATGCTATAAATATGTATGCAGTAAATTGGACCAAGGAAAACACAGAGGTTGCTATATGAAAACCCGGAAATTCCTCATAATGCATAGAAATTTCCACCCCACTTTTAACACTGGCCAGCCGGAAAAAAAGCGGGTGGGTCTTGATGAATGTGAAAGCCACTATTGAACGAAACTTGAAGCATTCAGAAATATATCAGCACCAAAGGATAAACTGCTGAGAGAATTGCTGAGAGAATGTCTGAAGTATATACAGACTAGAAAAAGATGAAGTAGAGATAGCACCATGGCAAAGCAAAGCCTTTCATTGGACAGATATCTAAGATAACTGATATAGAGAAATTCTACCAATAGCTGAGGCATTGATCATAGTAGTAGAGCAGGTGCTAAATACTGGATGCATCGAAACATTGTTCTACTATAGATAGGATTCTAGATGCAGATTAAACATGAAAAACGCCTCAGAGATAATACAAATATATAGTGACATGATGTAAAAACCAAGTATGTTCAAACACTGAAAAGCCAATAGATAGCATCTACCGGAACATTTGCTCGATGATATGGCTTAGATTCTCAAGTCTAAATGAGAGATTCCCAAGGAAATCGTGTATAATAAGGGGATTTTGCGGGACTTCTCCATCGAAACTGGCAAATATCGTGGTAGTAAATAAGAACCAGAAATTAGATGAGCTATCATTATGGGGCATATTTGCTGACATTCCACTCCTGGAAAAGCTGTCTTTCAAAAAATTCGCTGGTAACCCATATTTCTATCGCCAAATGATGATTCTATTCCCTTAACAAATTTTGTCTAGTTCGATAATTTACCAGTTAGTTATACAAGTCTAATCGGAATTGGAGAATGCTCCTAGAAACAAAAAATTCTTAACATCTTTGATACTTCTCATCCGTCCTTTTTATTCATTTTTTCGCTGCGTATTTTTTTCTTCAACTGCTCAAATTCATTTCATCAATATTCAATATGTTAATTTCATTGTTTTATTTAAAATTTATTTATAAAAACTTTGTATTCTCCGATTCTCCGATGAAATCAGCAAAAAAGCAAAGAAAGGAACCAAGAAGAATATTAAAAAAATAATTCGGTTTAATTCTTATATTTTATCACATCTCGTTGCATTATTTTTATATACATTTGTATTTAAAATTCTGTCGATTTGGAATTGAAATTTATAAATTAGTGATTAGCGATGATTAAAAATCTAAATTATGCGTTTAGGAATATTGTTATTATTATTATTGTTATTATTGTTATTGTTCCTACTATATTTTATATTTCAAAATATTTTTAGAAATCTCTTTTCCATATTCATTTGTAATAAAACTTTTCTTATTATGGGAAATTTTTCAGCGATTCACTTGCAGTGGAGGTGAGTTGTGGGTTTTTGCTTATTTCCGGTGGGTGCACGACCATGACGGCGATCTGAACAGCAATCGCACTACTTGAAAAATTAAAAATGGAACAAAGTTAAATATAGCAAATAAAAGAATTTAATTGTTTATTGATTTTTTTGAAATCGCTTATCATTGTGATCAATGCACAACAATGGGTTGCATTTTTGTGATAATCCATGACAGATTTAAAATTCGTGGGCAGAACAAATGAGGCAAACAATATTCTAAAATAATTCTATTTTTCTTACTTTTTATTTATTTTTTACCTCATTTTTATTTTTTTTGATAGTTTTTCCGTTAAATAAGGTATTTGTAATATTTTATTCATTTACGGAATAGATTGGAGCGTGGGGATTCCAGTAATACATCTATTTTTCTATTCTCATGTGACTCTATAGCGAAGGAATCTATTTAGTCAGCGAAGTTAGCCAAACCAGAAATGGCGCATTTAAGAAGAAAAAGATATGTTTCTCATTAAGCATACCGAAATTTTAATTTAGTTAATTATTTTGGTTCCTTCGATAGTTGATAGGCATTTAAAATTTTTCTAATCAGCCATTTGTTCATTCTATTTTGCTATTTCAAAACTTTAGATGTCATTTTGTTCGTATAAAGTGAAAATGATAGGATCGCTTGCCGTACGTAAATTTTATATTTTGCTAGTTCATATGTGTTGCCAATAATATTTTTTGTTCCATATGGAACCTCTCTAATTCTAGTATTCGCTCTTTTATATGTCCCGCTTTTCGTTTTATTCATTAACTTTGATATGCTTGTCGTTTTTCATAAGAGCGCTAATAGGTTCGCTCCGCTGGCATGGACCAAATAAATTTTTCAAAAGAGTCACTTGGCGAACTATTGATGAATCGCCAGATGCATCATCTGGATTTTTGAAAGATAACTCCTCCCAAGAATGGAACTTAGCATCGACGCTGCGACGTGAGATCAGCAACAATCTGAGCAGTTCTATTCCCATCTTTATATATGTTGTCGTTTTAAAGCATTCTTATTTCTATGCACAATTTTCTTCTCAATTTTCGGTATAAAAAGTAAAAAAGAAAAGCGAAAAATTCCTTAAAAACGAATTGTATTGCATTCGACCTAATTTAATTAATTATACACTTAGAAGGTAGATGCCAAATAACTTTACCGGATGCATGCAATTTTTTTGTTTGGAACGATAATTTAAATAATTACTATTATCGTATTATTGTTTTGATATTAATAAGTAGCATAAATAAGAAAATGTGAAGATTTTTGCCAAATTATTCTAAAAAATGTAAAATAAGCTAGTTTGAATAGTTCTGGATCATTTCTGGTTTTGATATCTTCAATTATTTCTTACTAATAAGATGAGACCCATTCATTAGAGGATCACATGGAGATGAGCACAAATTTCTAACAAGCATCACCCGGATTCCACTTTTAATGGCAGATTTACTTCTACTTTCGCAAAGAATCAGGTATCGTCTTATGTCGCTTTAACCTCAGTCCATGTAACATGTTACTCGACCAACCTGCCACTATTAGGAGAAATTAAAGCTAAAATATTCTTTTAAGAGAATTTCAATTAGTAAGGTAAAAATAAATTTCCGATTAATTTCTTGTGTTCCGAAATGTTACTATTTGTTTGTTACTATTTATTAAACATTAATTAGAGTAGAAAGTTCTCTTAAAAGATACGAGTGCATTGTCCTCGTTCATCTCGTCCATTATTTCATTTTATTGTGAGGGATGAATATTTTGCGTCCTTAAAAGCGTTTAATCGCTGAATAAACATTAGTTATTAATTTATTTTGAACAACGAGTAACGTTGCAGTTCATTCATTTCCTAGGGTTTATTGTTGCTGTGGCTTGTTGTATTAATAATAAATGTATTTCGAGGGATTTTGTTCGAAGAAATTTTCAGCTTTACTGATATTTTTTAACTTTTCAAAGCTCTAAGAGCGTTGAACCATATATAATCACAAAAATCCATCATTATTAAAATTTTATGATTATCGCCATGTTTTATTGCTTATTACCTTCTATTGCCTCCTATTCGTTACTTTATGTAATGTAATGCTTACTTTCGATTTTTTCTTTAATTTGGTCATTTTCTTTTTTTGTTCAAATACTTTTTGAATGCTAAACGATGTGGAAAAAATTTTCAAAAATTTTGAATTTTCATTTCTGCTTATAATAAATCATTTCAAACAAATAACGAAATTTACCAAGAAAGTTTAAATTTCTTTTCCAGATTCTACCACTACCTTCGATTTTTCGATGAATTTTGGTTATAAACGTCGTTTCACAAAAATAAAATCACTGACAAATTCTTTTTTTCAGTGAGAAAATGATTTCTTTACATAAAAACAAATTGAACTGCAATGAATAACTGAAAGAGGCGTTCCAATGGATATATTTGAGTCCATACGACATCCCACAATTAATATCCTTGCAGATATGCAAAATAATACTAATGTCAATTTGATAAATGAAGGAAATCTCCCGCAGGTGATTTATTATTTCATCTCTTTCTCGCCATTTTTGATTCCTAATCCAAGAACTCTTTGCCTTTCATTTGGAAACGGTGATTTGAAATGATTTTGAATATATGGATTCCCATGCATTTCACACGGAATAATTCAAAATAATTTTTGCTTTTTATCATCCATTATCAAAAAGTATTTAATATTTAAATAATATTTAAATCATACATAATTGCGATTTTTCGATGGCAAATGAAAAAGTGAGAAATTAGAAGTGAGAAAAATCAGATTTTCCTTTTTAAATGGCAATGGAAATAATAATTTAATAAATTTTTGTCCAAATACTTAAGATTAGGAAAATTTATTAACGCGATAAATATTGTGAAAAATTATGAAAAATTTCGTTTCGATGTTTGCAAGACTTGTTTTTCAAACATTTAACTCATATTGTATTATTACTCGTATTGAATGAAATCTCAAGAGTTATCACCATATTGCAGCCAATAATTTGTTTTATGGATCGTGGATTTGATGGATTAAGGAGTTTTGTAAGTAAATGAAAGAGTATAAAGAAAAATAGGATATCTGCCCTAATCTTTAGTTGATATTTTGCAAAGCATTAGGGGTGATGAATGCATATCAAAAGGTACATATTTCGATTTTAAGGCACCAGTATATTGTAAATAGATGTAGATTTCGATATTTGTCACCGTTATTGGTGAAATTAAGATCGTTGATAATATTGCCATTTTCATTGCAATATTTAGTATTCCAACAATTAATTTTGCCATCCATATATCATTTTGCAGATATTATTTTTGCTACATAAATTGTTTAAAACTTGTTGTTTAAAAAATAACAAAAAATTCGTGGCATTTCTAGGATAACCATTGTCCAAAAAGTTTGTCTGGCTGGGTTAAAATAATAAAGATCCAACAGCCTATTATATTTTTAATATTTTAGATGATAATTATCGGGTTAATCCTTATTATCTTGATAATTGCTTGTATTGTTGGTAATTTATTTGTTATCATCGCAATCATCGTAGAAAGAGATTTAAGGAACAGGCCTCATTATTATCTAATATTTTCGCTAGCTGTTGCCGATCTTCTCGTATTATTTTTCATTATTATTTGAAAAATTATTATTTATATTTAATATAGTTAACATTACTTATATTTTAAAAAGAAAAATAAATAAGAAAAAAGAATAAATAAATATGAAACGATTGATTGAATGACAAATTAAACATATTTGAAAAAAGAAAAATTCTTTCATGAATATTTCTAATATAATTTTTTATATTTAATTATGGAATAGAAATATTTTCTAGAAATTTTAAAGTGCGCTATTTTAAGGTTGGTTTGATAGTTACACCACTAGGTGCGTGGACGACAGTAGTTCGATCGTGGAAATTTGGTGTTATTTTATGTGATTTTTGGATAAGTATGGATGTCCTGGTTTGCACTAGTTCCATTCTCCATTTGGTTGCTATTGGTTAGTTATATTTTCTTGAAATGTAGGGAATAAAATATAAGGAAAATTTTTCTTTATAATTTTAAACGCTAAAATTTTAAAAAAACTCGTTAATATAATAATTTAATGGTTTTTTATGGTTGCAAAATAAATATTCATTAACTGTTCAATAGCGATTTAATAAGAAGGTATATTTAGATTTTTCAGTGAAAAAAATGCGATAAAAAGAAGTAATTCAATTTAAATCACATATCACATATTAGAAAATTTTAGCGATGGAATTTAAAAATGCATATTTTTGTTTACAACAAATATTTATGACTTTGCTTCATTTTTATGGCAGATTGTTTATGAATTTTTGGATATATATTCCACAGAAGAGAAATATTGATTTCTTTGGAAATAAAAAACCTTATTCAAGCCTAAGAAATTGGGAATTAATATGGTAAATTTAAGGAAACTATTTTTAGCGTTAGATCGTTACTGGAGTATTACTGATATAACATACGTGCAAAATCGTACACCACGTCGGATATTTAGCATGCTGGCCATTGTATGGGTTGTCTCACTACTAATATCTGTGGCACCAATATTTGGTTGGAAGGATGCAGACTTTCTGGACCGAGTAAAAAAACAACATGTGTGCCTAATAAGTCAGCAAATTAGCTATCAGGTACTTTGTCAACCATCATCCTTCTCACTGTCTAAGTTATTTTCACATAATCAATCTCTTTTGATTCTAAAAATATCAAATATCAAAGTGATTCGAATTATATTATCACCTTATTTCTCGGCTAGACCCTCATTCTTCTTCTTCTAACACCATTTCTAGATTAGATAGCTCCATTGGCTATTAGAAAGTGATCTCCTCGTCTGTAGACAGCAATATAGACCCTCAGTATCTCAGTGGGATTCATTTTTAACATTAGGCTTACTCGTGTCAATGGAGAGAATTAGGAATGATGGAATAATTCGACAAATTAAAATTATTGAAATCCTTATGACAATTGTCAAAATTAATTAACGTATAAAACATTGCCTTATCAAGAATAATTTGATGAATTCTCAGAAATTGAATTATTTTGCTGTTGTTCATAATTTTAATCTAAGAAAATTTAATTAGTGTGATTCGATAAAAATAAATATAAAACTAAAGTTTAGTTTAAAAAAATTTTCTTGAGGAAAATTAGACAATTTAGTCGCTGAATATCGTTTTATTAATCACTTTTAGCGATTCAATCGCTATTATAATCACACATTTTTATAGAAATTTATTATTTATTAAGATAAAAGTGCATAAACATTTCAAACTGCATGATATAATAAATTTTCTTGCTTTATACTGGAGGCAGGGTGACCGAGTGGAAACTGCTCAGATTATTAGCTCGAACGTCAGAGTGCGGATTCCGGCTTCGTTTAGAATAGATCTGGTAGAAAATTATCGTCCGGATGGTGCCTGATGACGAATCTACTCGTACTTTTGGTGACTTCTAGTGACTCCTTGGCAAAAATTTTTCATCTTACTAACTAATAGCCAGCGAAACGATCCTAACCAAAAATAGTGAATGCTAGCCTCTTATATTACTTTGTATTAGTTTTTAATTATCATAAAAATAGGTCCAGTAATGTATCGAGACAGAAATTTGGCACTGAATCTAATATTATTTGTGCTATTTATAGTTATTTATTAATTTTATTTGAATTAAAAAATGGGATTACGTCTGAAGTTTTACCGATTTCAGCTTTTACTGTAGCTTTTTCCTAAAATCGATTTGTTGAGAATAAAAAAAGTAAGTAAATTCGTAAATTTCTCATTATTGCTTTCTCATTATTCCTCATTTCTCATTATTCTCATCATTTCTCATTAATTTCTCAAATTTCTCGGCTCACCGTAAATTTTTATCAGTGGATAATTTTTTTAAAGTTTCCTCATTTTTATTTATTTTTATTTACAATCTCACTTGAATCTGCGAAAATAAAGTCGAGTAAATAAAATTATACTATTTATAGTAAGTTAATTGGCAATAGAAACCTCCGGGGCATTTAACTACAGCAAATTAAACGACTAAATATATTTTTTGCGAACAAAAGTAAAATTAAAAGTTGAAAATTGTATAAATAAACATTTAATAACTTTTTTTTGATTTAGAATGAATATTTATAAGAGAACTGAACGGTGAAGAGCATGAGATAATTTTTTTATTTTGTGACTCTAGAAATTGAATGGAGCCATTTTGGTGGTGTCATTGCGGTTCTTTTTTTACGCGGAGATACGAGGAAAATAAGAGACTTTGTGTTAAAAATCGAGTGCTATAATTAAGATTGAGCCATCCGTCCAAGATTTTTCTCTCTTGAGAGAATAAAAATTCAAAATCGAGACGGTGCTGGGGATCTACTTGTGTTATATTGTTAATTGCTTATCTTATAAAAGAGCTTCATGCTAATAGTCAGTCATACCAGAAATAATAATTGCTGTTAGAAGAAGAAAAATTCACTCTTAAAATATTTTTTGAAATTCTTTGAGCGATGGCGATTCTTGCTCAGGCATTCAATTTGCAGAGAAGATTTGAACATAAATTCTGATCGGAAAATAAAGGGAGAAAGTATAAATTTTAGCCATATTTTCATTCAAATATTTCACGAAGGAGAAATGAAAAATATTCAGCAAATATACATTTCATCTGCTTTGCTTGTGTGAAAAGTATTTTGATAAATTAAAAGTGAACATGGAAAAAGGTTTGTGACCAATATAAAAAAATTAAGTGCTATAAATTTTTGGTGGCTTTAGGTTTAATTTTTGAAATCAACAGGTGAATGATTTCGAATTAGGTAACTCTATTGAGATGCATTTGTAGATCGGTCAGCTCCTTAAAATCGCTTGATTAAAATTAGATCGATCACTTCTCTCGCTCGTTTTTATCAATCAAAAATTGCTCTTTTTTAAATCTCTCGTCGTTAGAATTCGTCATTTCAAATTTTCTTATTTTCGAAGAAAAAATTTTTAAATTTATTTCCTAAACTGAATGGTCGATCGAAATTTGTATATTACTGTCGATATATTCCATAAATTTTATTTCGATTCTCAAAAAATCTTAAAAAATTTTGAAAAATCATTACTTTGCAGATTGAATTCAATTCATTGCCCATAAATTTTCGTTCCAAATTTCTCATAAAAGCATTATTTATCGCAAATTCGTTAAAATAATTACTTATTAAAGTGTTATACCTTAAGCTGAAAATATGTAAAATGCATTTAATGAAAAAAATACAATTTCAATACAATATCGTTCATGAAATGAACTCAGATTTTCTCTCACCAAAAATTAATTTTTTTTCGAGTATAAATTTCATAAAGAAATTTTTTAAAAATTGGTTTTTATTTCTTAAGTTTTACCTGTATAAAATTTTTGGCATATTGCGCTGATTTTTGGAGAATTCTTCAGCAACTTTGGAATTTTCATCTTTTTAATCTAAAAAAGCCTCACTACAACAATTCCTATTTATTTATTAATCGAAATTAATTTTTACGACCTTTTGCTATATGAGCAGTTATGCTCGAAAAGTGCTCGACTTATTAATCAATAGAAAAATTAGTAGACATCAGTAAATCAGTAAAGCTATTTTTAATCACTGTATTGTTATATCATATTCTATCTTATTATCTTATAATTTATTACTTATTATTTGTTATCAACGAGTCGGATAAGATAATTTTCGCTTCCTTTCTGCTAAATAGACTCATAGCAATACGAGAATACATCCTAAGCAAGCTGACCGGGGGACTATGCTAACCAGATATCTACACTAAGAAGGGTGCTGGAACATCTTTTCAAATACCAGCAACCTATCATCACTTCCTTTATCGATTTTGCAATTGCTTTCACTCAAGAGGTATGCAAATCAGTCCAGAGCAAATTTAACTAAATTTAATTTTTCTTAATTTAGTTATCAAAATTAAAAATGATTTTAGATTTATCATAAGCATATGAATAAAATCAATTTTAGGTAAAATAGATTTATGATGTACAATAAATATTTTCATAATTTTTCACCAGTTTTTGTTCATCATCTTTTCCTTTTTAATTCTAAGAAAAAATGTTTTAAATAGAAACTTTTATTTACTTAATAATATTTTTGCTAAGAATCTTCTATTTTTTAAATGTATTAATGTATTAAATGTATTAATGTATTTTATTTGTACTTTTTTGTTAAAATCTATTTTATGAGAAAATTAAGCGAATTTTCATTATATACTAGCAAAAATTTTAGGTGTTCAGCACAACGACTGCATTTTACATACCTTTATGTGCAATTATTTGTATATATTATAAGATAATGCGAGCAGCAAAACGTCGTTTTAAACGTGAAAGAGATCGTAAAACAATTTGTCGAGTTGCAAGTGGTAATGCAAAAATTAACAAACAAGTACAATTTTGAAATTTTCATTCATTTAATTATCAAAATAAACTAGAAAGTTTATTCAAAAATTCATGTTAATCCATTATTTAAATCAAAACATTATTTAATACTTTTCGCCATTTAAATTTGTTGCTAATGCCATAAGGAAATGGTTAACATTTCCGCTTCGCTTCGTTCGATATTAGATTTAGTATACTGAGAAATTTTTAGCAAGCAATAAATTAGCGATAGAAGTGCGGATGGGTCGCCAGAACATGGACATTTTAACAGTAAATTTAATCGTGTTGGAGGTCTAAGCTTCTGAATCGTAAGGCGATAAATTCGAGCCATTATTGGTTTAACCTTCTCCTGACAGCAATAATCAAAAGTTATGCTGAAAAACCTCTCTTAAACTTAGATTCACAAGTGACTCTGGTGAAAGGGCTCTATGCTAAGAGCCACTGGAACCAGCCAAAAAAAAGAAGGATAAGATCGGCTAAAAACTATGATGTTAGTTCCAATCAACGATGATCTAAGCAACGACCATTCGGCTGTCCATTGCCAAATTATCCTTGGTATTAGTAATGTATTTTAATTTGGCATTACTGTTTTATTAATTTGTATTACGATTGGTATACGCACAAAGTAATTTGTGAAATTTTTTAAATACGGTATACGATCTTTTTTTCTAGTAGCAATTGCTGAGCAAATACGGAAAATTTTCGAATCAAATGAATTGCAAAGCACCAGTTTTCTTCAAATTTATTGTTTTGTTGGAAATTTATCTATTAACGTTAAAAGATATATCAAAAAGAGAGTAACAAACACAGTAAAGTTAAATAAAATTAACTATTTGTTATTATTAATAACTGATAAATTAATGACAAATTAAATGACAAATTAAATGTTTTTAAAATTTTTAATTTTTGCACATTTCACACAAGAATCTCTGAAACTTCTTTCATTTTTTTGAGTAATCCTCGGATAATATTTTTATTTTTCCAATTTTAGGGTCTCAAGGATTAATTGTATTTAATCTCATTTCATTTGAACATTTAGAACATCTGAAATAAAAATATTTCAGTGAAAATATTATTATCACTATTGTCAGTTTGGCTGACAATATTGGCTACACTGGCGATTAAAGAATTTTTTCTTCACAAATCAATGCCAAGGTAACTGAAGCCATTCCTTCTTCGACCGTCTGAGTCCATATATACCTGGTTCGTCTATGTATTCAGAATCTTTGCTAACTATATCAAATTTTGATTGTTCCTCCTCATTCTCGACGCCGTCCATCACCGGGATTCGCAAATTTGTGTTTGGTGCGCTTGTGCTCGTGAAATAAAGAATCAGGCTGGTTTAGGAACGATTAAGATCAAAAAATTTCCATATCAATTCCTTTGAATTCATATAATAAACTTTTATTACAATAAGAAAATAACTGAAAGAATATTATTATAACAATTATATAATATAAAAAATATAAGTGCAAAATAACTAATCACTTGTAAAAATCTTTCTCACTGGAAGTAAACAGTAAACTGGGAGTCATTGAAAGTGAAATGCAGGTAGTGCTGGGGACCAATCTGTACTTCTACTCGTCAAAAAATCAAGATCAAAAAAAGGAGCATAAATACTCATTTATCATGCTTAATTGCAATTGCATTTTTGTGCGCCAACAATTATCTCATCAAATCCGACGGGTTCTTTTAAAGCAAACGAAAATGAGAAAACAGTTCGTTTATTTCGCGGCTGATTTTCCCTAAAAACAATTGGGTTTCGTATACATTAATATAAATTAAGTAACTGAAGAATTTTCTATAAAACACGGACGGCATCTAACTTTACTTCTATACTTAGGAATTCTTAGAAAGGAATCTCATCTTAATAATTGGCGGAGTCAATCAATTAAAATAGAAATGCTATGTGTCCTTAGGAAAAGAAGAATGTTTTTTGTGGTACTTCTCTCATTCTACATATTTTTTCTCAGTTATTGTCTATTTGTCTATTTTCTATTATTGTCTATTTTCAACACACATTTTAAATTATTATGCTATTGGACTTTAATATTCATTCATCATTTCCCAGATTTAATGAAATTCAAAACATATAGAAGAAAATAAATGAATACATTTCTAATCAGTTTCGCTGGATGTTAGAAGAGTTTATTTATATATTTAAATTTACTTGGCGATGGCAATAGATGGAACGCCAATTTCGATCAGACTTCAACGAGGGGGTTAAAGGGTTTTTTATTTCTTTTCTAGTGCTTTAATGAATGGCAGGGACAGAATCGTCTCTCAGCACGGTAATCTAAACCACTGTTCACTCGGCTATTTGGTGCCACAAGCATTTCTCTTATTGGTTCTTAATTACGTATTACAGTGCTAATGATGGTAAAAGTACTTTGGGCAGATAAAATCTCAATTCCATATTATAGAATTTCGTATGCCGTAGAATTTTTTATCGAACGGCTCAAATTTTTGCTTGTGGTACTTTATTGATGAATCATTCACCGGCATTCACCGGCAATCATTCAACGATTATCGCTGAAAAATTTTCAGAATTGGTTCTTACAACTATTATTTAATCGCGTTCTAGGGATTAAATTTATTTTTCTTATTAAAGAAAATAAATGCAATAATGATATTTATTTAGTGGTTCCTTTAAAAAATTTTGCGTGGTTTCATGTGCTTTGTTTATTTTTGCCTGTTATGCAGTTTTGTCTGACATGAATTATACTACTACGCTTGCCATAACTTCACGTCTTTTATCATATAGGAAAACTACCAAGTTCGGTTCTTTTAAAGTGATGTCTATAAGTTTGCGATGGTGCGCTTTTCGATTTATGGCATTCGCATACATAATAAAACTGGTTGAAATGAAAAAAAAAAAATTGTTATAGTTCACCTAAAAAATTTTCTTATGAACTAATAATTTTATTAGTAGAATTTTTATTTTTCAAAGTAAAAATTGATTTTTTTGATAATTTTAGTAATTTATTTGAAAAATTGATAATTCTTAAAATAATTAATAGCAGAAAGCAGGGATTCAAAATTCGAAGAAGGGAGTAAAACTGTCCGAGTGAGCGACTCACTCTATTTCCATTGCCAAATGCTGGCAAAAATTCATAATTTGTTTAAATTTCCAAATTCCAAATGGAACTAAATTTCCAATAAATTTTTTTCATTTCACTAAGCGTTATTTATTGAATTTTTTAATTGAAAAAGGATCAAAAAAATTAAAAATCAAAACAGCAATAAAATATAATAGATTTAAATAAATTTTTAATTGGTTTTTTAAAGTTATTTTATTAATTTTTTGTTAATTAATTTCAAATAAAATTAGCTCCCAATTCGACTAGAATAAATTCAAAAAATTAAAAAAAAACAAATTGAAGGAAACTTTGACCGTAGTTAATTTTCCAGAAAAAAATTATTCAATAATATAATTAATTAATAATTAATTAATTAATTAATGATGAATTAATTAATGATGAAATTCCTTTGTCATTTGCAAATTTTTTTTAGAAAAATTTGAAAAGAAAAAGAAATCTACTAAAAATAAATATTTGTGAAAATTACGCCGATTCAAGCGATGAAGAACGATATACTACAACACATTCCAATGGACATTATTGTATTAATGAAACTTGTCTCGATGCAAATAAAATTAAGGAAATTACCGAAAGTTGGTTTCTTAAGTAATCAATTTAATTATCCGGATATATCGAAAAATTCCAAACTGATTTCAGCGATATAAAACTTGCTAAACTTATACCCTTTTAATTTAATTCATCGGCATTTTCCTTTCACTCTTTTTTTGAATACATTTATTGAATTATGTGAATCGGAAAAGATAAAAAATTATCAAATCAGATTACCAGTTGAATCATTTTTTCTTAGTAAAAGTACTAGTAATCTCTTACTCTTTCCATCTTTTTTTTGAGAAAATTCTCTAAAAAATTTTATTTTATTCGAAAAATAACACGCACAACAAAATTAGCAAAAAATGAAAAAAAAACCTTAATTTCCGAATAATTAATTCACAAATCTAAGGCCAAGAAATCCTTCTGAGATGATAGAGATGCTCTTCAAATACTGCCTAGCGTCTTTCACAACAGTTATCTGCAAAAGTGTCATTATGAGTATGAAAGAAAATGCCATGTAACTGGAATAAAGAAATTCTACTCCCAAATCCCAAGAAAGGTGATAGGACTCATTGCGACAATTATCGAGAAATCAACTTGCTGGATGCATCTGGCTCTCTTTTGCCTCTCTTCTGCTGAAAAGATATAACAGTGCATGACAGCAAAAGACCCACTGACCAAATTCTATTGCAACAACCTACTATTATATATTTATATGTCTTATCGACTTCGCTGCTACATTTGGTTCGTTCGATGTAGTCATGTAGTAGTCATGCAACACGTTGGTGTTCCAGAGAAATTAATCAGTTCGAAGTGTTTTATCAACATATGTATGTGGAACTGACACTTTCGAAATACGTACCGATGTGCATTTTTCCCTTAAGTTTTCAATAATGATAGATTGGCATGGATTCGCTACAACATTTGACGATACCTAAGAGATGCGTAGATCCAGTCCAGAATATATTATCATGAACCTTTAATATTACAACATACTTGCAATAGATATTAGAACGAATGTTGACAGTAATAAAATTGGTTTTTCGATAAATTCGTCAACGGTGCACGAAGTGTTAAATTTTAAATATGTCGAAGCCACTCTCATAAATAAGTACAAACATAAACATGTATCTAACGGCTAGGCCAAAAATGAAATCCCAGGATAATTGCAACAACTTCTTTAAAACCGCTGCGAAATTAGCCTCGAAACGAAAGTTCGCAAAGTACCTAGCCATCGTACGTAGAGTCCTACCCCATATGACTGCGAAACATAGCCAATGTAGCATAAATCAGCCTAAGATACATTCTACGTGCTAAATCTTATGATGGATGATATCAAAAGAGACTTGCAATCTCTTTGACCAAAGCAAGAAGACCTGAAGCTGGAAAGATTCTGCACGCATAGAAATCCATAATAAGCAAATATAGATTTAGACGGTAGATTAAAGGCTATTCTCAGAAATCACGTCGGATTGGAAGACCTGGAAACATCTTGTCCTCGTCGCCAGTGCAGTGAGCCAAAGCAGTAGTGGTGTGGGCCACTTGAAGACGAAAAAGAAGATTAACTAACATCAATATTTCCAATATTTCCAGTGGTTGATGAAAAAACAATATAAATTGGATAATAAGAATAACCTAAACATCAACCGAATAAAACAATTGACTCATTTGAAATTGATGAAATGCCTGAAAACAAATTTTCTTGTTAATCGCAATAAATATTGAGAATTAATTAATAAAAATTGAGTCTGAAAAACCGGTAAAAAGGACAAAATTAATTTGATAATCATTTCATAACATCACTTCATTTCGTTTAGATTCATTGGACAGCGCGGTTTTCCAACGAGAAATTTCTTCCACTATGGGAACTTCAAATATTCAAGTGTTTCTTGAAGGTAAATATTATATTATGATACTTGAAAAAAGATCGGCAAAAGCGCTTTTCATGGAAATTGAATTCTTTTCGATCTTAGAATGTGAAAATCTTCATTCTAAGTTCTCCTTTCAGCACTAGTGCCTCAAGTAAGTCGTTAGCGTTTATACTATTTCTGCTAATTACGCTAGTTGTTAGTAGAAATTTTGGCCAGATTTCTTTTAAAGGTAGAACCAGCATTACCACTCAAATTTGATAGTTTTCTTCCTGCCAGGGTCAGGGAATCATTTTCTATGGATTTTTATCAAACGAAAGATAATAAAATGATTAATTTATGATCGCAAAATGTCAGTAATGATTGAATTTTTAGGCATTGATAAAAGCAAACAAATAAATACATTAATTCCTAAAATAAGAATAAAAAAACGACGAAGAGCTGAAAATGCTGAAATGAAACGAGAAAGAAAAGCTTGGAGGACTTTAGCAATAATTACAGGAACTTTTGTCGCTTGTTGGACCCCTTTCTTTCTTATTTCGCTTTATCGACCAATGTGTCGTTGCAAAATTCCTATTTTATTGGAAAGCATTACGAACTGGCTAGGTAAACTTTTAAAAACCCAACGGTCTTATCCTAACAAATCCCAGTGAAAACATCCAACGATGTTGAATTAAACGTTTTTATTAAACTTTTAATATGAATTTTACCGTTAAATGATTTTGAATTAACTATCAGCGAAAATTCAAATTTAATTATTCGTCTTCTTCTTCTAACATCTCTCACCATTACTGGTTAGGCTGGCTTCAAGGGTAAGACCTCTCCAAGCTCGCTCCGATGCCATCGCCAGCAGTAATATAAGCAGTAATATTCCTTTTTCCATCGTCTAAGTCCATATATTGCTGGTCCCCTATAAGTTCAAAATCTTTCCTGGCTATATCAGTTCAAGTCTTGACTGACCCTCCTCGCTTTTGACACCAGCCATCACAGGGTTTAGCAAGTAATGAATGCGTTATCCTGTGGTGGACGACGCAGAACGTGTTCTAATCAGCTACGCTCTGTGATAACATTATTAATATAGGTGGTATTTGAACAAAAGTGGATGCGATCATGTGATATTTTATCCGCTCGACGGACCCGTAAAATGTACCTTAGATAAGAGTGGTCAAAGGAACCACTCTTATCAACTATGTCTCGTAGCAAAATCGAGAGAATCGCGGCTATATAGATGTTGGATTTTCATCTTTATGGTAATTTCGCGTCGGTTCCATAAAGGTTTCATCAGCCGAAAACCATATTTCTAGCTGTCGTTATCCAATTACAATTTCATCCTTTGCTTGGTTATTTGGTATTAAAGTGGATCTGAGATATTTGAAGTCGGGCATTTCCTCAACCGGTAATGAATTGATAAAAATATTTTATCAGCATCTTGTGTATAAGATAAACTTTCGTTTTATTTAAATTGATTTTGAGTCCAATTCTCGCTGCAGTTGTTGAATAATTATATTATTTGATAATAATTACATTACTTACATTATTTGCATATCGCCATAACAAAAAGGAACAAAAAGGACTACATCATCACTATATTCAAGGTCTGTAATACTATGCTCTGAACTGATTCGCACACCTCTTGAATCGACAAACGACGCCCATTATCCAGTCTATCATATAGTTGAATACTGTGGGAGGAAGGACGCATTCCGGACGGACATCAGTTTTATTTCGAAGGCCTATCAGTTCCTCATATACACGGATTTGTGCCTGGATTTGCTGATAAAGTGCCATTATAAGTCGAATGATTTTCTCTGAGACACCGTCACATTCCATCACTTTCCAGAGCGCTGCTCTATCAATCGAATTGAAGGCAACTGCAAAATCGATAAAGCAAATAGCAGTGGGTTGCTGCTATTTGAAGCGATGTTCCAGCATCCTTCTTAGCGTAAATATTTAGTTAGCACAACCGCATTCCTGTTTAATTATTCCAATTTCTTGAAATCAAAATTATAAATAAACCACTAATTAACCAATTTTTATCTCACATCCAAGAACGGTCCTTGCAAGAATGTCGCAGTGGTTATAGTCCTTTAATTTCAGGATATTTAAACTCAGCATTAAATCCAATAATCTACACAGTATTCTCATTAGATTTTCGATTGGCGTTCAAACGTCTTGTTAAAAGATTAATATTTATGCGATGTCTTTTGTAATATTTAATTATTATTATTTTGTAATTATTATTTAAAATAATAAAAAATATATTTATATATTATAACATATTTTTCCAATTTACAGCTAATGAAGAATTTGAGGAATTGAAACGTTAATTTTCAATTAAAACAAGTTTTTTTAAAAATAAATATAGAAAAATATAGAAAACACCAGCGGATTTTGAAAAGATCTGAAAACTAATTTCTTTATATTCAGCCATTATATTCTTGGATACAATTTTGATACAACTGTTCGCCATAAAAATAAAAAAAATTTCCCAATTTCAAATTTTAAATTAAAAACTTTGGAAAAACTATCGAATACACCTATCGAAAAAATGCGCATCTTTTAAGCCAAAAAAAAACAATAATATTGAATAATTCAAAAGAGAACAACAGAAAAAGCTTTAAAAAACAAATAAAAAACAATAAAAAATTACCTAAAAATTTCTAGAAAAGGTTAAGCATTATTAAAACGCTACAATTAAGGACTTATAAAAATATTAAGAAAATCAAACTAAAAATCTTTAAAAGAGCTTATAACAAATTCGAAAATAAATGGAAAATTCTCATTTAACTTAATAAAACTTAATAATTTGAAAGCATCAACAACAACGATTATATCATCCAAAAATTCATGAAAAAAAGGAAACAAGAGGATTTCAACTTGTTTTATATAGTCTTTAAATATTACAACGTAAGAAATTTTAATAAAAACAAAAACATTCATTCGATACCTCAGAACCAATAGCCAACAAAATGATATTGGAATAATCTGCAATATCACAAAAAAATTGAAATATAATATAACATATAATATAAGCTGCGGGATTTATTTCAAATTACTCAGCCCAATCAGATGGTACCCAAGTTGATTCCGTATCCAATTTGTCGACAAACTGGCATAAATGACAGAAAGCTTGGTCTATGTTCCCATTTTCGATGATCGCATCAAAATAATGCCCATATAATTGCCAAAGTTGTTCGGAAGTAGCAATCATTTGTTCAAAATCTGTGCAACCTTGTGCAAAAATACCACTGCCATTCTTTTTCAACTTATTTCCAACCAACCGCAGTTTCGAATGTGATCTGGTCTCCTTAAAAAATTTATTATGTTTATTGAAATAAAATATATTATTAAATTAATTGAATGCATTAGGAGCCAGTTATTCAATTAATTTATTACCAAATTAATTAAATAGTTATTAATAGTTATTAATTAATGATCCAGCAATTAAAAAAGATTCACGAAAAAAAATCAGCATTTACCGTTAATTGTTCCAAAGAAGGCGGTTTTACGAAAACTATAAAGGGCCTGAACATCGATGATCTTAGTATACGAAGAGCAAGATGATGTGGATTGAGAACGGGAACACGTCCTGAAAAGTAAAAAATTCTAGTACCTTTTTATCTCAAATTTCAAATTGCAAATTAAAACTATTCTTTCTTTATTTTTGTCTAGACAAACTATCATCATTGATATTTATGAAGCAGAAAATTTGAAATTTGAAAAAATTTGAAACAAAGATGAAAAACGAAAAAAAGAAACGAAAAAACGCAACAAAATGACCTTGTTTCATAACTGCTAGAACTGAATCAGCTAATGTTCCATACAGGTTTCCCCTATACTCACCGAATTCTAAATATTTTCCTTGACGTATATCCTTTTCCATTTCACTCCGAGAAACGAAATAATAATCAACTCCGTCAATTTCATGAATCCTAAAATACTAATAAATTTTTCTAAAACTATACTAATAATAAATTCTAAAAGAAAGTGTTCAGTTTTGAAAAAAATTAGACCAATAAAATTAAATAAAATAGACTAATAAAATTAGACCACTACCGTGGAGGTCTGCTAGTATGTGGAACTGTGGTGGCATAACGTTCACCATTCTTCATTATTAACCTTTTTCTTAATTCATTTCTACCAACACCTGGAGGTCCAATTAAAATGATTGGACGCTGATTTAGTCTAGCAGGGGCTAATTTTACGACTGATTCATACATCTAAATAAAAATACAACTGAAACAGGTAAAACTTTTCAAATCTCTATAAAATTTAAACTATAAAATTTCCAACTATGATTAAACATATAAGATATATCTTTTTTTTTCACTCATTAAGTAGTTAATTTCATTTAGAATAATAGTAAATATAGTAAAATAACCTGAACCATATTTTTTGATGTTCTCCTCATAGAATTTCTTGTGCTATCTCGCAGTGCCCGCCGCTTTTCATATAACAATTCGGATGGAATCAGACCGACCTTTCCTTGTTTATTTACTAATTTAAAGTTGAATAATTCACAAACTTTTCCCATTTTTCGATGGAACTTTAGTGAAAAAAGTAAGTGCTTAAGTGATTTCTGGCTAAGCTTTCTCTGCTGACTGTTAGGGGCGATTAGAAATTTTTTTACCAAGAAATCACTTGGCGATAGAAATACGAGTGGATCGCCAGAAAAATCCACATATATTCTTTTTAACAACAGGTTTACTCGTAGAATGGAACCGAACCTTGGCTCCAAACAATAATTTCAACTATTATTGTTTACTCATATATCCCACCCGGAATTTTAGTGGTAATAATACAGTTGAAAAATGTAATTAAATAAATCATTTACGTTCAACTGATTCAGATGATGCAAATGCACCATAACCAAACGACCTTGCTTGCCACCAGTGCTCATCATCAGTAACAATTAGCTCCAAAATTTCACCTCTTGTGAAAGACAAAGCAGCTTCTGGACAAGGATGCATTGTGTCTTTATTGCTCGAATAGTCAACCTTAACAGTACTTCTTCAAAAGCCTATCTGCTTAAATCAAAGAAAAAATATCAATGTGTCATTTTTTATTCACTTTTATTGGGCTCAGGCAACAGTGTTGGACAAGCTCAATTTACTCCTTAAATCGATTTCGTGAAGACATTTTGCCCAGAACGGTTTAGCCTCCCAACTCACCAGTCGAATTCGACATTCCACGCTTTACGAAATGAGCTAATTAAGGATGTTAGTTGCGACCGAAATAATGATTTTAAAAAAAAAGAACTGTTTATCCCGGATATTTCAGAAAAAATCTCTCAACTATATAAACGATATGGAAATTGGCATATAAACTCGTCTGTGAGTCTACATGGTATTTTTTCTGAACTGGTTTTCTTGAAAACCAATCTTTATTTCGGCTACAACACCTTTAGCAAGCTCATTTCACATCGAAAAGAGTGGAAAGTCGACTGATAAGCTGGTTAAATTGCAGCAAAACTAGTTCAGACAAGGCATTTTCACATGGAACAAATAGAAATTGCTCAACATAACCAAGTATTGTCCGAGCTCGATAAAATGAAGAGTTTATGATGTATTGACCTTAATATTAAAATGGATGGAATAAAGCAATTAATGTAGTCACTTCAATATGATATTAATATGGCATACGAAAAAAGTAAATAAAGTAAAAATATAAAAATACATAATATGAATGTAAGATATAATTAATAAGATGACCAAAAACTTTATGTACTTTTTACATACTTTCTGCAAAAAAATTTTGAAAAGGTAGAGAAGTATTCAAATCGATTTAACCATTTTAAAATAAAAGCAATTAAATTTACTTACCAACGAGCGCACGTACCGCTTTTCTGCATAATCAATAGTCGTTGGAATATCGGTAGGAATAAGTTTGAAAGTTACCGACCCATTACCTGTGCTTAAAAGTTTGACTATGTCTGATGGTTTCATCCCAGTAACAGGATTGCCGTTAACCTCCATTACTCTGTCACCAACCTGCGGATTATTAAAAGTTGAATTTTTTTTGGTTAAAATATTTTAAGACTTGAACGAAACTTTTTTCTCAAAATTTTGCGAAGTATAAAGATTTTCAGAGAGAATTTGGTTGAGGCAACAAGAAAATTTTGCTCCACTAAAATTATAATTTCAAAATATAATGAAATTTGCACAAGATTTCCTATTACTTGAACACATCCACTTCGATCAGCAACTCCTCCAGCAATAATTCGTGCAATGAAAACTGAACCATTTGTATCACATTTTATTGTTGCACCAAGAGCTTCATTGGCTTTAACTAGCCTAACTATTTTAATTGCGATACCATCATCATCATCCACTTCAAAAGGGATTTCTGGTAATTCAGGAGTATAGGATCGAGTAGCAATCTTATCATGAGCAAAGAATAAAGCCTTAAAAATATAATTAAATAATTATTCGACAATTAAAGAATATTTTTCGCTAAATGAAAAAAAAGATAAGTTATTCAAGTGCACTCATTTAAATGCACAGAGAATTTTTCCAAAAAATGAAGAGTTGTCGAAATTGACTGGATATAAAATTCCCATAAATGCTATGCTATAGCATATGCCAAATAAATTTTTTTAAGCTTGGGCTTCAAAAAAAAAAAAAATTATCAAAAATTATCGAAAAAAATTAATAACAGAAATTATCAAAAATTATTTTAAAAAAATGTAATAGAATAACCTTTATAGTTGCTTTACATAAAAGTGACACAAGCTGTTGGATTGCATTTGAAGGTGGAGCCGATTCTTCCCATTCATACAACAATGATTCCACTAATTCTGACAAATTGCCCTCACTAAAATACTTTAATACTTTTTAACAAATCTTGAATGAAATATTTTGGTCAATTAACAAAAGATCTATAAAGTTTAAAATTTAATATTTAATGAAATTTTAATTTTAATTTAATGAAATTTACCATTATCAGAACGAAATTCAAAGAGTTCAGAAGGAAAATAAGACAATTTAAATTTTTCATATAATTTCTGTAATAAAATTTTTATTTAGGCATTAGAAGCCATATATGAAATTTAACCAAAAATTTAAACTGGATTTGACTTGGACTCGCCTTCCGATTTTTTACATAAATTGATTTGCTTAAAAATTTTAGAAAATCTATTAACAAGTTTTCATTAAAAACTGACTTAGTTGAAGTGATATTATTATCAATGATGATTTATTGTTCATCTTTTTGTTTTTAAAAAGATATTCTTGAATGATATTTTTAAGTGCACAAGTGTTTTAACGGTTCATCTGGTTATAATTTTTAGAGTGATGTCTACTGAGAATACTGATGTTAATCTAATTTTACTAAACGATAACAGAGTCTTCGTTACCTATTTGCCTAGATAATATTCCTGAAATTATTTCTAAAAAAAAGTGTAGTATATTTAATATGACCATTGTATTTAATTTTTAAAAATATCTTACCATTCAAAATCCTATGATTAAGAATTTATCTGATATAACTTTTTTCTTCAAAGCGTGATAGGAATAATCATGGACCGAAAATGCAATTTGTGTGAGTAGGATATGTTATATATTAAAATATTAAACTTATTGATATGAACTATTTTTTAATAACTTAGTTAATGAATAACTAACTTGGAATGCATGAATAGACAAATAGATAAAAAATACAGCTTTACTAAATCAAGATAAAATAACCACGATTAATAGTTAACAAAGAGGAGTGGTAATAGTAAATTTACTGCTTACACTCTAGATTTTTAAAATTGGCTGCAGGTGGATGGTTTTTTTTAAAGAGTTTTCAGCATTAATGGTTCCACTGGCTTGTCGTACTGGACAAATATGCCAGGAAATCCCTTGGCGATAGAAATACAGTCGCCAGCACCACCCGGATTTTTGGAAAGGTTCACTCGCGCAGGAAATAGAACTTTAGTACCGACGCTCCGAATTGAGCAACAACCCATTAAACTATCTTATCCACAAATGGTAAATAGACCGTTTAATATGTTTACTTGTTTGAGATACTCAACGATATTGTTTTTTGCGGCGGAAGCTGTAAGAAATATATAGCGAAAAAGAACTTTTTATGCTCATTTTAACGGCTTCGATAGAGTGATAGAGTAATGTCTATCTTGAATGCTGAGTGAAATAAGAATATGTATCCATGCAAAACCAACATACTCCATGCATTTTAAGTTGATGATGTTCAACGAGGTCATTAGCAATAAGCAATGGACAATTCGACAATGAACCAAGTAATAAAAAAGTTTTTTGAAAAGAGACGAGTCGAATTGTCTTCCGCGACCAATTATAACCCAATGGACAATCGCTGATAATATTGGACCTGTATCCAACATTTCGCTGAAATGCGCATTGAAGAAGCCTGGCTGCAAGGGCAAAAATGGCATGCTGATTCGATTAAACGCTTTTTATTAATGTCCAATATTAAACTGAAGAAATTCTGAAGTATTCTCTGGTAAATGCGTAAAATACGCAGCAATCAGGTTAAGTTAACAACTAAGAAATGTGATTCCATGCGAACAGTTCGATATATTGAAAACAATAATCGAAAGTTCTGAAGGCTTTTTCGTAAGGTGACAACTTGAGCTTCTTCGTCATCAGACATGGTAGTTAACTGGAAAATTAAAAAAAAAAAAAACTCGAAATTAAGATTTACTTATGAAGAGCCTTGGCTTCCATTTGTCTGAAAAATGAACTTGCAAGTCAAAATCATCAGTGTCACCAGCGCCAACTAACTTGAAAGATCAAGAAACATTTAGATCAACAGAGAACTTTATTATACAGTGAACCATCACAATGAATAGCGATAACGAATCATCATTCCTCCTCTATATATCACATAAATCAATTCTCGAGGTTGCGGTAACTAGTGGAAATGATAATAACAATGAACTCTGCATAAAAATGTCCATATAGTGAGAGCAAAAAAAAAAGAACGAATAAGGCGTCAAAAAAGAACTCCATAAGTCGCGAACTCGAGATCTGCGTCGCAGTTTTGCTCATTTCCTCTTATTGCTGTAGAATAGGCTTAAATTTTTTCTCTTGCATTATTTTGTTTATCTTTGGCCTATCTTCCGATGTATTTATGCTTCTTTTTTCTCATTCTTCCTCATCTTTAAAATCTTTTTTACGATAAGAAATTATTAAAAGACAAGATAAACGATGAAAAAACACCTGTCTCGGTTCGCATTTATATGATTCGATATCATTTTATGCAATGAATTAATATTCTTTTGTTCCTCATGAACGATCTTCTTTTTCCTTCTCGAAAATTCATCGCCTAAACTTTCTAAGATCGATTCAAATGCTCTCGTGAATGTATCCGATGCCAAACTACTGTCGTGGCCCATTTCATTCATTCATATTCTGGAAAATATTCTGAAAAAACACAAACCAAAAAGAAAAGGAAGTAATAGCGTTGTCCAGTAAATTTCATTGGCGAAAAATTCTCTCGCGACGATTTCCAGGAGAAAAAAAAGGAAAGTATATTAGAAAAAGAGGAATGAGGAAAGACTCTGTAATAATAAAATTTATTTACAATTCGCAATAAGAAAGGAAATTAAAGAAAAGTTTAGCGACCAAACCGTACCGAAACATTCTCCACAAAACTTTTCTTCCCATCCACAAGCAATGGTTATGAAAAAATTAATTTTCGAAAACACGAAAATCTGAAGCCGCAGCTGAAGGCCAAACCGCAAAGTAGACATGGAGTCGCGCACAATATTTCTCTTTCGTTAGGATTTTTTTACTTTTATTTTTTTTTCTGAAATGGGTATTGTAATTGTGGGTGGTTAATATTTGTCGTTGTCGATAGTTTGGATTTGTGCTTTAATTTTTCGCAGGCTCTCAGAGTTTGCCAAGACTTTTGCCAGGGAATCGATCCAGCTGGCACCATCGTGTGGTACCACCGCCTGTGCCATCTCCATTTTTTTATTGGTAACACTGCTTTTATAGGGTTCCCCTTTAGGCTTTTCTCTATATTCGGACCTTTAGGAAAACTTTTATATTTTCTAAAATTTAATTAGTAATAAGAGTGGCATTATTTCGCTATAGTTTTATAAATTTCTTTTGTTTTATTTTTATATTTATTTCCCATATTTGTTTTTATATTCATTCTTTTGAGATGTATTGTTTCGGTGGAAGTAAAGGAAGTCCGACCTCATAAAAACATGTGATTTGGAAAAAGTTAATATGTTAATGGCCTTTTCAATTAATTGTGGGTATGGATTTCTGAAAAGATCTGGAAAATATGGGAATTATTTTTAAATTTAAACCATTGATTTATTCAATCTTCTTGAAAAACACTGACTGAATAGGATAAATAAAAACTTTATTCACTTTTTCTTTTAAAAATTAGAAAAATTCTTGGTACTTAACTAGAAACTTGAAATATTTACACGAAAAATTTGAATACTTTTTGATACAAAAACTTTTTGATACAAAAGTATTCACTAATAAACTTTCTTTTATTTTTTCATCGCATATCATTGGAAAAGGAAATTGAGTCGAATGAAAGGGCCAAATTTTCAAGATTTTCAGGGTAACTCGAATTTATTTTTAGTTTTTAACTACGCGATTATTTCTCTAATGGTTCTTTATTTTTTTGAAATCATTAAATATATTATAAAATATAAAATATTTCACTAATTATTTTCACAATATCATTTTATTAAATTATCATATCATTTTATAATATCATTTATCATTTTATTAATTTTATCATTTAGTTAAAAACTGAAGCTAACTTCGGGTTTTCAATCCTTGTTCGCATCCACTCTTAGTTATAGGAACGCATTTTGTTGCTGAACTGCAAATTAATGAAATTAATGATTAAGCAAAAGTTATCAGTTAAAATTAAAAGCATTATTTCTTTATTCTCTGTATAACTTCAGGCAATATAAAGAACTGTACCTCTTCAACTAATTCATAAATTTATTGTTAAATCTTTGAAAAATGGTAGATAAGTGTATGATAGGTAACGTGCATTCTTGCTTATTATATGATAAATATAAGCGTTATTGGACAATATTAGGGGATTTTTAGGGCGAAAATTTCTTTCTAATTCTTAGGACTTTCATTATTTTTTTATACAATATTTTTAACATTTCAATACATTTACATATTGGAAAATGAAGTAAACAAATTTTAAAACATTTTTTCGAAAGTAAACCTTCTTCGATAATGTTTTTCGCAGACGCATGCGAAAACAAATCCTTTTGACGCCGAGCAAGTCGTATTTTGATAAAATCTGCAGTTAAAGTCGGCCGGGTATTGGTATTTTTCATCGCACAATATAGGTTGAGTAAGGACGTTGCGTCGACATTCAAAAAATACATTGTAGTCTAAGGTTGTTAACCACCAAATTTCATTTGACACTTTTAATTTTGCAGTATTTTTTTTAAAATAAAAAGTAAATTTTGACAATGAAGTGCTCGATTATTATTAGTGGCAAGGACGATAGTAGCTTAGAGATAGCAAAAGGTGAATTAATTTTTTCATGAAGCGGTTAAATGCTTTAGCAAATTTTCTGCATTCGCTTTTTTCCTGATATTAAAGCTTGTTTTTAATTTTTCATACGAATATAGATTTTCTGCTCTTCCTTTCTCATACGTAAATTTTCTTACTGTATACTTGAATAAATTATTTATTATTTGTTGGAACCTACAAATGTCTCTTTTTATACAGATGTATCCAATAATACATGGCTTCCAAAATTCGTTATCTCCATGTATTCTGTATTTGTCACAAAGCAGTGGAACTTTATCTCTGGGACAAGTCATGCGGTTCCCTTAAAACTTTTCAATTATTTCACTTGATTGAATTTCACTTGATTTATGAATTATTTTATGTTCAAATTATTCGATATTAACATATGTAATATTATAATTATAATAAAAGATTTTTAAAAGATGCTAACTTTTGCACGAGAGTCTATTTTTCGTGTCATTTTTGGGCCTTGTTAAGGCGTTATAATTTAATAAATTAATTTCTGTAAAAAATAGCAGCAGTTGAAAAATATCAGCCTGCAGCCCACAGTACGCTAACCATGTAGATAGCGATTTATTTGATTGATTACTATAGTAAAAAGCAGAGGCTCGACTGCTGCTTCCATCAGGGCTGAACTTGTCATTAAAAGTCTGGGCTGTGCTGTTACTTTTACTTCTATCGCCAGATGGCTCTGTGTCAAAAATTTACCTTAAATTTAAAAATTTCTAACTGTACAGCCAGAGAAAGCTAGTCTACTCAGAAATTTAACCTCTAATTACTGGTTTAATTTTATTGTAGTATAATATTAATAACAACATTAGTTCTTTCAGCGTGTAATATAAAAAATATAATACGAATAGGAACTGGGATAGTGGGGAAATAGGTAGGGAGACGATTGCAGAGCCAAGAGAATTTCTTATAACTTTAAAATTTTATTTTTGTAAATTTTTTATAAATTTTATTGCACTTATCGTATGTTTTGTTGTAGATGTATTATAATTGTGTGTTTCTTTCATTTACCATATAAATATGGAACTATTTAATATAAAAATTAACGTACAAGAAATTTTTTCGATATTATCAAATCCTTCGAATGTTCGATGGTCGTCATAATCTTTATCATGAACTGAACGAATCAATAAACGCTTGAAAATAATGATATGAAGAAAAAGATGGATACATTTCATCTCAAATGAAATAAAATATTACGCAGGCAAAAATTTGTTAGGCACATATCTGTGTAAAATCAGGTGGTCAATTTTTATTATTTTAAATTGCATAATTGTATTATTTTTGTTAGAATAAAAATTACAGTGGGCACATTCGTGAAATTTTATTAGATAGAGGAATAGACAAATGTTCAAATTTTGAACGATAAAATACTGGAAATCGAGAGCGAAAACCAACCTCCACGCTTTTCAAAAATTGGCAAAATAAGTTAGTTAAATAATTTTTAAAATGCTAAAATATTTTAATATTTTAAAATTGCAAATTCATTGATGTTTGAAGATAGGTTTTCAATAAAGAATCTCATTTGATCGTTTGCATTAAAATTTTTTCCATCAATTCGAGGTTTGACAACAAAAAAAAAGTGAATCGTTGATTTAAGTGAATTTATTTGCTTCTTTCTTATGAGTGCTGATTATATTATTGTTTTTACGAATGTTTATGATTAAAAGATAATAGATAATAGTTGCTTTGCTGTGCTTTCCAGCGCCACGATGCTAATGATTTCGTAATGTAAGCAATTCTTTCTTGTCCTTCGTTTATCCAATACTTGGCTGTGTTTGGTCGAAGTTTTCGCTCGCTCTGAAGACATTTAGGAAAAATTCTTCCTTTGGTGGTGATTGCTAATAAGTCGTGCTTCAGATAATTTCTCCAAATATATTGTAGTAACATATTTCTCCATTTAAGCATTGCGACGGCCAAAGATTGACGTTAATCTAAAGGCGATAGCTTTAACAAATAGTTCATTAAACCTCTACAAATAACTGTTGTGGTGTTATGGCATTTAAGGAAGAGAAGAAAATAAAACTGGTGAATAAAGTGTAGTTTCACCTTCTTATCCTCATTGCCTCTTATTTGTTGGAGAAAGAAATAGAGCTTCAGGTGGGACCTTAAAAGGACCTTATAAGAAGGCAGTCATTGTTTTCGGATTTGGTGTGATGCATTTTTATTTGTCGCTAATTCGTCTCGTCGCAAGAGATCGTTCTTAGTTTTTTTTAAATAAATTAATTTATAGGTGAAAAAAGAAAATGCCGCGAAAGGACAGCTCAACGAAACGAGCGAAGAGTACAGAAAAGGACACGAAGGTTTATATTTCGTAATAAATGAATTTCTTCATTTATTTCAGCGTTAAATTATGTAAGTGCTGAAAAGCAGTGTGCTCGTTTGCATCTCGCAAATGCGCTTATAATATAGGTCGCTAACTTGGCTGTATATACTCATATACTTATATACTTGGGATATGTACTCATATGCGACAACTAATTATTCAAAAGTTATGAAAATAGAATTTTTGCGTAAAATTATGCGATCTTTCATTTCAGTGAAACAACAAACATTGTTTTTGTTAAATTCAGATAGCAGTGAAATCGTACGAAATTAATGATAAAGTATTGTGCAGACACATTGACAATTTGTATTATGAGGCGAAAATTATTGCTGTCGAACAATCAGATAATGAAGCAGTCTACACTGTCCATTATCAAGTCATCTTTTAAATCTTTTTTTTTACGAATTTTCACGTTAAATATCAATAAATATACCTTTATACCACCATTATTAGTGAATAAAAACGTCTTAACATCAGTGATTAAATTTATTTGAAGGGTTGGAATCAGCGTCATGATGAAAAAATCCCACACAATGCAACTTTAGAACGATTTCTCGAATATACTCCTGCTAATATCGAAAAAGCGAAGGTTTGTTTTCATTCTTTACGAAAGGCTCGAAATATATATGTAATGTTTGTTTTTCATTAAAAAATATGGTATCTTATCATTATCGTATGAGTCAGAAGTGGATAATTGACCTCAGGCTTCGTTAAACCTTTGCAACAATGTGAACAGATATAAAAAGCATAACGAAGTTATCGTAATACAAACGAGCTAGAAAATCAAATATTATATGATTATCAAAAAAATGCATAAAAAGTGATCTAAATCAAAATGCATAAAAAGTGATCTAAATCCCCAATACGCCCATTTTTTTAAGCTTCTTTATGATATTGCGTGGTATCATTGAGAATTCTCTTCGTTATTAATCTGGCACTCTTTCTGCTTTGTCAGCCCAGTGTTATCTCACTTTTCGCTGATATTTTGCCTATTTTTTGAAAGCACAATTTTTTCTTTTTTTATTCCTCACATTTTAGTAACCTTGGAAAAGAAAGAGATTTGTTGTCCCCATGTTATCTTCATGTTATCTAATTTTTTAGAACTATTTAGGAATATTTATTTGCTTGCAGACAGAGTTGAAAGATGCACAGGCCCGTGTTTTACAGTCAAAAAGGAAAGGCAAGAAACATCTAAGCGATGAAAAAAAAGGTGGTACTGATAGTCGCGGAAGCACTCCGTCCGATAAACGTGGTGCATCTTCGAGTCGAGCAGCTAGCGTTACATCCGAGAAATGTTATCTTTTACGGATTATTTTACTGGGTTTATCGACTTTGAATTATTATTTTAGGTAGCTCAGCCGTTAGTCAAGGCCGAAAACGAAAATCAGCACAAACTGGCGATACTGAACCTATTGTTGATTTTGTGCGCAAAAATGAAATTAAGATCGAGGTTTCGAAATTTTTTATTGTGAATATTATTCCGTTATTTCACTACATCTATCTTTATAGATGCCTCTAGTGCTGAAAGAAATTTTGGTTGATGATCAGGATATGATTGTACGGCAAATGCATATTCCTCGAATTCCTGCTCGATTCACTGTTTCAGACATTATTCGGCAAGTAAAGATTTTCCATAATTTCGTCCATTTTCCACTTTTTTTGTAATCGTTTGAAAAGAATCTACTTTTATACAAAAGAAAAATTTCTTAGATTTTTAAGGCCAGTGTAATGAGCTTTCATTTCTTCCATATTTTCCGAAGTGCAAATACTTATAGTATGCGGAGTATATGGGAAATTCTCTCGAAGCAAAAGAATCATTATTATTCGAACTTGGAGGTGATGAAACGCAAATGAAGAGCACAATTGTGACGATGATTGAAAGCAGTTATGGAATGCGAGTATGTATTTCATTTTTTTAATATTGATTAAGATTTTATCTTAATGATATCGGTTGAATTTTTGGCAAATAAATAGAAATTTTATTTTATTTATTTCTTGTAAATTAAGGTTATCATTTTACGCTTTTGATCTATGTGTAAATATTGTTTCTAATTTATTAGTTGTTGATATAAACATTGCATGAATCAAAAATCCATTGATTTAATTTATTTCATAAAATAATTATTTATTTCATAATTTATTTCATAAAAAGTATTGAAAATTCTGCATCTTCATCCTTATTTTTTTTTCTTGCTTCTCAGGATTATTTCAATTCTACTCTTGGTTCGCAGTTATTATATAAATTTGAAAGGCCTCAGTATACTGATCTTCTGGCAGAATTTGAAAGTAAAGAGGTTTTTTTTTCAACTTATTTGTCTAATACAATTATTATTAAATGTAAGATGTGGTGTCGAGGTTTGTTTCTTAATCATCATTTTTTACGTTTTTCTATCATTCGATAAAGCTCTTCAACCATCCATCCTTTCTTGAACCATTCGGGAACTGTAAATGGTGACTCTATTTTTGCTTTGCTTAATTTAATTCACAATTTTTCAATATCTTTTGAAATTTTTTATTCAATATTAAAATTCAATATTTTTTCAATATATTTCAATATTTTAGGATGTTACTAAACCATCTTCTACAAAGAAAGCGAAAAGTTCTTCTCCTGAAACTGAGGGTCACCTTTATATAATTTTATTGAGATAAATATTTTTTATGCTTCTTTTGGTCTTTAATAGTTTGAAATAGTTGAAAATGTTTTGCTAATTTGCTAATTTTATATTTCTTCGCAAATTAATCGTCATTTAGATAAATTCAAACCTTCTGAACAGTATGGCTTTATTCACTTATTACGATTATTCGTCCGATTTGGGAGTATGTTGAGGTTTTTTATTTTTTGTTGCATTATTTCAATTTCTTCGTGGTTGATTTCTTTTTATAAAATTTTTCTCAGCATGGAATTGTCTTTATTTCGATAATTTTTAATTTTTTGAAAGAAGTAATTAGTTTAATCAGTTTATTTGTAGTTTGGCAACATGGACTGATCGAGCGGTTCAAACAATAGTCGGCCATGTACATAATTTTTTAAAATTTCTTGAAGTTAACCGGCATAAATTTTTTGATCTTGAAACCGATTATATTGTATCGACGCCAGAATATCAAAAACGTGTTTGGAATTCATAGTGATTTCATCGTCGTCTTTCATACATCTAATGTTTTTAGTGAAAATTTATTCATCTCATTTCTATTTCATTTCTAAAAAATTTCGCTGAATATTGTTATTTTTTTTAATTTTTTAAAATTGTGTTGCAAAATTTTGTAAATTCATGATTATCTTTTTCGTTGCGATTTTATGGAAGGCATTCTTTACCGGTTAATTCCTTTATTAATTAAACTTGTTTTCTTCACTACTATTGGGTTCTTGACGATTTTTTCAGGTTGGAGAATAAAGAATGATATTAATGTATTTGCTATATCTGAATCTCGTGTGAGGAACTATCTAAGATAATATGGAGTATTAAAAGTTGAAAGTAAACAATAGATGGTGAGTTCAGATCTATATACTTAGTGTATCTTGCCACTGAATGATTTATGGACTATTCGGTCAGCAGTTCTCACCTTTTTTGGTAAAATAGTACTCTGGCCGGCATAAAAATAAAAAAAGGAACAGAAATGGAAGATATGATTGTTGATACTGGGTGAATGAAGCGAATTTTTGCGAATTATCGCTGAAAGAACCGTAAGTCGGTATGACAAAGTGCAAGAGAGTAAAAAACCAAGAACACTTGGTCCGTTTAACCGAATATCGATATTGTAGAGATTGTAATCGATGTTAGAAGGTGAATTTGTCCAAGCATTCTCAAAGGTGTTATCAAGTCAATTTTTATACGAGCAAGGTATGAGTGGAAGAGGTTTTTTCCTGAATTGTTTACCTGCGACCTCTACAATTTTTTAGCATAAATCTGCCGGTTGTCGCCGATTTTATGGTTAAACACTGGTTCTTTTACTTATGGACTCACATCGTCAATTGCCCACATAAATTGGATTCAAGCGTGCCTGGCCACCACAATATCGATTTAAGATAATGGAAAATTGTCACAGCCAATACCCCGCCGCAAAACCCACAAAACATTGGTCGCTGACCGACGTCAATCATGTGGCGAAATCTTAGTAGTTGGACCTGGCTGCAAAATAGTATATTCGCCGGGAACTGAAGATCAATTGCGGATTGTTTGGCGATCATTTTCGCGATCAATCGTCTCTTGCGTAATTTTCATAATAATCATTATTAGTTTCATGCGCTTTGATCCAATTTTGAGAGGAAAATTAATTGAGAAGTGGCTGAGATTATTCTGTTGATTTCTTTTGCTCTCTCTGACCTCTGACCCTTCGTCGATTTCTTGGTTCTCTCGGTAGTATCGCGATCTTCTCGTCCTATAGGCGTTTTTTTGCAGCCTTCCTATAATCTTTTTCGATTTTTTCTGCCGTATTCGAATCTGATTTGCCGGAATTCCAGAAAAATCTCGAAGTCTTTTGATATCACCGCCATCCAACTTCATTAACCAATATCGTCTCGTTATTCCAGGCCATGCTTTGCTTCTTCCACGGCTGCTATCGTGAGATCACCCATTTGACTATCGCGCGATCTTTTTTGTTCTGCGGCCGAGAATTCCCTTTATATCGCATACCATACAAAGTAGCCATATTGTACCATTTGTTTTCTTGGCCTCTCCTCACCTAACTTTTCGTTCAATTTCGACATAAACGACCTACAAGTGCTTATTTACTTTCTTTATGGCGACAATCAGCAGATTATCAGCTCTGTCGCTTATTCATTTATATTTCACAAATGAGTTGTAAGGAGTTGTTCTTTGCTGTTCTCAGTTTCATAATGCATGCAGATGACTTTATGAAGCAAATTGAACTCGACCTTTGTCGAGTAAAAACCTTATATCTCTCCAGCAACTGATATTCCTAACTGATATTCCTTTTCCTTTCTTTCTCTGTCACGTTATTAATAAATGTGCTATTTTAAATTTTATTTGTTCTAATTTTATTTTAATTTTATAAAATTAATTTTTGTTTTATTTATTGAAAAAGACAAAAAAAAGATTTAAAGGGAGTGAAAAAAGTAATGAATAAAAGCAAAACGATAGGATGCCATAAGAAAATTTCAAAGTTGAATCTTTGAGGTTCATTTCATTGCGAATTCTTCCAATTTATTTCAATTCTTCACTCCTTAGTTAAGTCACTCGTCAGTGTTGAGAAATATACCATGCAGTAATATAAATAAACTGTTCAAACTGCTCGCACCACTAGTGATTAGGCCGGCTGCGCTGGCTATGAGGATAAAGGGTCTCCAAGCTGCGCGATCCGATGCTGTCGCTGACAGTTCTAGAACCTCTTTCTTTTTCCGTCGTCCAAGTCCGTTGATCCACCTATATGTTCAAAATCCTGACCTTTTCATTCCAGGTCCATCTCGCTTTTGATGCCACCCATCACAAGGTTTAGCAAGAAATGTGTGTCAACTCTTAGCGACGAAGAACGTGTCCCGACCATCGAAGGTGGCGCTCTGTGATGCGAATGCAGTTGGTATAAGAGCGAGTTATGTGAGATTTTATCCACTTGGCGGGCCCGTAAATTCTTAGATATGAGATCAAAGGTGAGTGGTCAAAGGAAGACAACTTCTCAATATTTTCCAATCTCACTGGTCATATTTCGCAGCGATATGCCAAGATCGAGCGAATTACTATTATATAGATGCGGTCTTTCTTTTTCGCGACGACTCCATAAAAGTTTCATCAACCGAACTTTCTGGCCACCGTTATCCGGATTGTAATTTCGTCTTTCGTTTGACCGTTTGAAATTAATTCGAGAGTGTAAAATCGAAACATTTCCTCCTCACCGGCAATAAATTGATAAAAATAGCTATTTTATCAGCTTTTTGCACATAAGACGAAAAGTTCTTCGTTTTATTTACATTGATTCTGATTCTTGTTGACACGTTGTTAAACTAATTACAAGTTGTCCGAATTATTTGCATTTCGTCATAACGAGAAGGGCTGCGTCATCAGCGTATTCAACATCTGTGATTCGATGCTCTGGATTGATTCGGACACTTCTTGAGTGTCGACAAGTGGTGTCCATTACTAAGTCTATCCTATAGTTGAATATTGTAGGGGGAAGGACACAATCATTACGGCACCATTTCTTGTTTCGAAAGAGTTTGTCAGTTCCCCATAGACCTGTTCTAGAATATGCTGATAAAATGCCTTTATGAGTCGAATGATAGCTGGTACACCGTCGCGTTCCATTACTCTCCATAGCTTTATTCTATCAAGTTAAATGAAGGCAGTTATAAAATCGATGAAAGAAGTTACAGATTTTTCAACCATTGTTCCAACTCTTCTTAACGTGAATATCTGGTCAACGCAATTTCGGTCTAAATCGAGCTCGATTTGGACGCATCCTGCTACCTTGTACTACTATAAGTGTAGTTGGAAGGAAGGAAAAATTTTTCCGGAGATGTCGAATAGGCTAGTTCTTCTATAATTGTAACAGTATGTTGTCACCTTTCTTGGAGAATTAGGAACAGGATAGGTTTCTTCTAGTCATCTGGCATTATTTTTTATTTCCTGCTGATGGTTCATAGTTTATTGGTGTTGTTACAAAATCGTAGTTGCGAACTTATGGTTCGATGAATGAATCAACTATGTTCAGCAGATGGCGCATCGTGGTTAAATTTGGCCTCAAAGAATTCTTTTTTTTATAAGATGATCCTTAATAGGCCTTAACAGGAACATCTTTATTATCCGTATCATTTCATTCATTAATTAATTACAGTCGGCCGAATTACACTTGCTTTGTTAAGAAGACGGAATAGTTTCATATTATCGCCTAATTGAGCCACGGTCTCCATTTTTAAGGCCATATCACTCCAATAATGGTTTCTGTCTTACTAAACTGCTGTCGTGATTCTTCGAAGCATCCGGTTGTTAGAATCTCCTAACATTTGCGCTTTACCAGCTTTTCCAGATAGTTTGACAGTTGCGATATCCAACTAGCGCATTTCCTAATATGGAAGTGTCTAATTTCCTTGGGATGCCTTTATTTGGGACCACTATTTATCCATAATTCCAGAGATATTGTTCTTAATTTTACAGAGGTTCTTCAATAATTCAGCTTGAAATGTGTCTACCGTCCTGAATCCTTCAGTTTGAGATAGTTGAGAAACCTTTACAGACATTGTTTCTTGCGAGTTGTTTTTCGCGAATCTTGGTTTGAATAATAACATAGCCTGCTCCATGAAAGTTCGAATATTAGTGTCGGGATAGGAACGGCTATTTAGCACGAAATTTTCCAGGCTACTGATTAAAATATAATCAATCTGGTTGGGGTATTGATTACCTGGGGATTCCACATGATTAGATGCATTCTTCGAAGTCAGAAGTATTAGTAACAAAAAGTTCTTCGGCAAAAAGAAGGCGTTCTCCTTTGGCGCATCCCGATGCCAGTTACCGAGTTTATTGTGGCGGCATCATGGCCTATGTGCACATTGCAGTCTTCCCCGATTATGACCATCTCATTTTTCGGTAAAATTGTTGAGGATCTCGTAACATTTGTACTTTACCAACTTGAGGTCTCGCGCAGAATTTGCCTTTATTGTGATTATCTGCTCATAAAATTGGAGTATATACACTAGCTACCAAATTGTTGCGGAATTTTCATTTGAAGCGAGCATGGTCATACGATCTTTTACCGTCTTCCACTCAATCGGCGGACTGAGCTTTTTCAGACCATCGTTACTCCATTTTATCATGAGTTTTCCGAAACACCACAATGATAGTACAAACACCATAATGATAGTATAATGATAGTATAATGATAGTCCTCTTCGGGAACAATTTTAATAATTGCACAAGATCCAAATGAGGAAGATGGATCTCCGATATCCACATGATATTTAGAAAGAATATTTTCAGTGATTAGGCTTGCAACGTCCATAAGAATTTTTGAGTCTTTTCCCCACTTCTACGGCTGATTTCTGAGAACGATTCACTTGCCTGGTTTTGAGTAGTTAGTCCCTTGGCTTGCGAAAATATCACATTTTGAAACGTTGAAATCGTTTGACTATGCCCATATTGCATACTTATCGCATTTACCACCGGGCTGGGAGTGTCATGCGCGTCAGAGTACGTTGATGCCGTCTTGGAAAAACCTGACCTTTTCACCATAGAGTCATTGAGTAGTTGCGGATAAATCCCCAGCAGTCACCCAGATTTTTAATATGATAGGTTTACTCCTATCAAGAACAAAAGTAAGAAAATTTAAAGAAAAATAACTTTGAAGAGAAAAAAAAGTAAATTTAGAAAGGAAAAAAATCGTTCAACATAACTTTATATATATGTATATATATATATATATATATACATATAATTTAATCTATGATTTATCTTCTTTGTTTTAAAATTTAAAAAAAATTTTTGAAAGACATAGCTTAAAAAATAGCAGAGAGAAAAACGACCGCTCAAGAATTTTTCCGTAAAACAATCATAAATAATAATGTTGTATATTTTGAAGTGAGTCTTTTTCAAAAGGAGCGGAAGATGCAAAGATTATTGTACTGTGCGATAATTTATTCCATTAATTAACTGTGGGAATAAAGAAATTATGCATTTTTAAATTTAAGTTTTACGAGTAGTCTTTACCAGCTTCAATTTATTAAATCTTCTAATATTGGAATTTAAGCTAAAATTTGTTATAACAAAGAAAATATTAATGTGGATATTAATATTAATATGGTACAATTTTACAGTTAATGCACACTATTCTTCTTACGAGTCCAACTCATATAATTTCTATTTTGCCTCAATCGATAGACCTGCGGGATTTAGAGAAATTTATCAGCTTCAAATTATAGTGGATGAATGAAGGAAATTTTAAAATGTTTTTTGCTCGTAAAACTTCTAAAGAATCGAAGAACGAAGTTTTTGGACTGATATACAATATTTCCCATTTATTAGTGGCAAAAAGAAATTTTCTTTCTTGAAGCCAGTCGGCTAATTTTTTCTGGAACGGCAAATAAATACTGGTGCAAACTAAAGGAATGTCTCCGAAAATCAGCCACTTCCACGCTAGGGCATACTAGTAGGAAGTGCGCTAGTTGGATATCGGAAGCAACTGTCCAATTGTCTGAAAAAGCTGCCAAAGCACGAATGTCAGATGATCCTGATTACTGGGTGCTTCGAAGATTTGCAACGAAAGCAGCAAAGCGGGACAGAAATCTCTATTGGAGTGACATGGTCTCAAGAATGGAGATGGCGGCTCGATTGGGCGACAATAGGAAACTATTCTGCCTTCTTCATAAAGCAACTATGACTCGGGGAACGATCAGTGAAATGGTAAGAGACAGCAATGGCGTACTAATTAAAAGTATTAAGGATCGTCTCATAAGAAGGAAAGAATTCTTTGAGGCCAAACTTAACCATGAAGCGCCATCTGTTGTCCCTAATATAGCTGATACGTTTGCCGAAATATACGTTTGCAATTGCGAGCCACCAACAGAAGAAAAAATAATTTCAGTTATCCATGAGCTTAAGGCCAACAAAACTCTAGGAGAAGATGGTCTTCGGGCTGAACTTTTCAAACGCTGTCCATTGTCCTTCATAAGGCACCTTCAACAAATGTACTCTTTAGTATGGAAAAAAGAAATATTACCAGATGATTGGAGCAAAGCAATTCTGCTCCCAATTCTTAAGAAAGATGTTAGGACATTTTGCGACAATTATCGAGGAATCAGCCTATTAGACGTCTCAGCAAAAATTTTTGATCTACTCAACAGACTTATGGAAGTACGAGACAGCAGGATGCGTCCTAATCAAGCTGGTTTCAGACCAGGTTGCGGTTGTGCTGATCAGATATTCACGTTAAGAAGGATGCTGGAACATCGCTTCAAATATTTGCAACCCACTGTCACGTGTTTCATCGACATTGCGGCTGCCTTTGATTCAATTGATAGAGCGGCGCTTTGGAGGGTGATGGAACGTGATGGTGTTCCAGAGTAAATCATTAGACTTATAAAGGGCACGTCGGCACAGATCTGTGTATATGGGCAGCTGACAGATTCCTTCGAAATAAGAACAGGTGTCCGTCAGGGCTGTATTCTTTCCCCGCAATATTCAACTATGCGATAGACTGGATAATGAACATTGCTTGTTGGCACTCAAGAGGTATCCGAATTAATCCAGAGCATCGTATCACAGATCTTGAATACGCTGATGATGTAGTCCTTTTTGCTGACAGTTATAACGAAATGCAAATAATATTAAATAACGTGTCAGAAACTGCAGCAAGAATCGGACTCATGATCAATAAAACGAGAGCCTTTTCATCTTATCTGCAAGAAGCTGATAAAATGCCTCTTTTTGTAAATTCATTGCCGGTCGAGGAAGTGCTTGATTTCAAATACCTTGGGTCCACTCTAATACCAAATGGACAGGCAAAAGATGATATTATAACTTGTATCACGGCAGTTAGAAATGCTTTCTTCCGGCTGGTGAAATCTTTATGGAATCGTCGTGAAATCACCATTAAAACGAAAGTCCGCATCTATATTGCCGTGATCCGTTCAATCTTACTATATGGTTTTGAGACATGGCCAATGAGAGTGGAGGATATTAAGATGTTGTCTGCCTTTGACCACTCTTATCTAAGGTATATTTTACGGGTTCGCCGAATGGATAAAATCTCACAAGATCACATCCACCTTCGTTTAAATACCACTTGCATAAATAATGTTATCACAGAGCGCCGCCTTCGCTGGTTAGGGCACATTCTCCGTCGTCCACCGCAGGAGTTGACGCATATTTCGTTATTTGCTAAAGGATTGGCTTCCGTTACTATCGATGATGGCCTCAGATCGCGCGGCTTGGAAGCGTCTTACCCTTGTAACCGTTGGAGCTAGCCTAACCAGTAATGGTGAGCGATGTTTGGAGAAGAAGAAGAAGAAGCTAGTCGGCTAAATTATCCGACCAACCATATATGTAATAATTAATTTTAAATCGTAACGAAGGTAGGCTGATAACTTTGATGATGTCATTGGTAGGTAGTGAGAAAGAGAGGGGAGCAGTGCAGCTACCTTGAGATACATTAGACCAGTGCCGGTGCCGGTTTTGAAAAGGAATTATTTATAAGTATTTCACATTTTCGGTATTATATGTTTATACATTTACACAGTCTGAAACGCATACAAATTCACAGTTAAATAATTATTTTTGATGAAGAAATTTGATTAGATGAATCATTGAGCGATTATAGAAGTGCACCGCCAATTCTCCAAAAAATATTTGAGCGTTACGGTGATTCTTTTTTTTGTCATTTGGTTAAACTAGTTATACTGATGTCAAGGACAATGCGACAGTGCTTGACTGAAATTTGCGCGACAGGGTTTTTCTTTTATTATTAATATTATTGTCTGCGTGAACAATTGCGGACTTTAGCTACGCTGATTTCTTGTTCACTGGTTAATTTTTTATGAAAATCTGTTTGATTGAATATCTGATTGATTTTAGAATTTAGGAATATCCGAGAGCCGCGCTTAGATTTTATGGAGTATTCAAGCACAAGCAATTTTGCAAAATATAATTTTTATTAAACGTGTAAAAGACAAAAATCAGTTTATTCGTTCGAAAGATGTGATCGCATGTGTTTTATCATTGCAGTTTATCCAATTATTACAATATCAATTATCCGACGACTCAGAAACCATTAAAATTACTGATTTATTCCCTTCCCAAATTTTTTATAAATTGTGGTATTATCGAATCGAAGCAAAATTCTATTTGCCAGTGCTTTTTTTGCATCGTTTATATAATTTAGCGGTGAGTGTGGTACTTATTTCGCGGTCCCTCCTCAGATGAACTCTTTTTTATTCGCTGCGCATATTTCTTGGTTCCCCATTAACTGGGTTCTTTGTTGTTTTTCATTATTTCTCGTTCAAATTCTGCTGTTAAATCTTTATTGGTATTGTATTGGATTTTCTAGTTGAATTTCGATTTTACGTTGACAAATTTCTTATCAATTTAATTCTCTTTTTTCAGTTATCAATTCATTTAAAAAATGAGTGAAGTACTCGGCAAGAAAATAAAGAAGCAGACAGCTCGAGCGAAGGAAAAAGTTTGATTATTACATTTTTTAATTTTTCAAAATTTTAAATCCGTCATATTTTAATTTATTTTAATAAATTATAATTTCGCAATGATTTAAAAGAGTTTTAATTTGTTACAGTTTAAATGCATTTAATTTCATTGTAATTTTATATTATTGTTAAAAAAGAAGTGGTAACCATTCACCATTCGTGGTTGGTTTAGTTCAATTGGTTAAAGCGGTGCAAAATTTTGTCAGAGAATTACTTGGAGGTGAGAATTTAAAATCAATCTGCTTTTTAATGTTAGGTTTATTCCTGTCAGAGCTAATGTACGAACTTTAACTTTTAGTTGATAATTTGAAAACCACTCAGCAACCACTCGGCTCGTCTCATTCCTCCATTTTTATTGATGACTCTAAAATTACGTTTTTTACTTTGGTTTATTTTCTGTAGAAGCATTCGGTGATGATTGATAAGATGAGAAACACGAAGCAAATAATTTTATTTTGGTGTAGAATTCGTATTGATGATATAGAATTTAAATATTTGATAAATATTTAATATAAAAAACAAGTAATATTATACTACTTCAAGAAAATAATAGGTGAATTTAGTATTTTATTGATAAACTTTTTTGCACTTATATGTTTAAAAATTCAGTTTATCGAATTTATTTCTATTGGAAAAATGAAAGAATTTATTATGATTTTAAAAATAATTTTTGGAAAATTTAGATTAAATCAAAAATTTTAGGACGAAAAATATTTTTTTTCAAAATCTTACACAATTTTTTTTAAATCCAAAATTCATTGATTTTCATTTTGATAAGCATTGAATGATATAAATCTTTAATTTAATAGCTATTGGGGAAATTCGCCGAAAAATGTGTTTTTTATAGTTTTCAAAAGTTGTTCCGATTTTATAATTAATTAAATTTTCAATCGTTTGCATTAAGATAATTCACTTGCTTAATGGCTAACATTAAAATTTAGTTATTGGAAGGATTGGGTAAAGCGAAAGCAACACAAGACGATGTTTTTGACCAACATGCTGCTAATCTGAATAAGCAAAGTAAAGCGATTGAGAGGCTTAATCGTGATATGAAAGGTTATGCAACTGCACTGAAAGCATATGTGCAAGCACAGAAAATTTTACGTGAGACTATACGTGAACTTTATGAACCGACTTGGCCAGATCGAGAGCATGTTTTTGCTATCACTCAGGTCAATTCTTTCATTCTTCTTAATAATTTGTAGAGATAGATAGCTTTTTTCTGGCATTTTTTGAAGCTAATTTTAATTAATTAATTTTGTTTTTAATTTTAGGCGAAGTTTTATTTTACAAATCTTTTAACCATTTGGTTTTTTAATTATTTTTATAACCAAGTTTTTTTAAATTTAAATAAGCATAGAAAATTTAGTCATTGGATATACAGTGGGATGAATTTGAAAAGGTAGTTAGTGATCAATTGATGGGGTCGGTCAATATATATATGAATCAATTTGCTGATCTCAAAGCAAAAGTTGCAAAACGTGGTCGTAAACTTGTCGATTTTGATGTCGCCCGAAATAATTATAATGCTGTAAAAGCTAGTGGGAAACGAGTAAGTACATTTTTCTAATTCTTTGTCAAATTTTTGGATTATGTTTGTTTGTTTTTTCGATTATTTAAATAATTCTTTGGTTATTTTTAGTTTTTTTGGCCAATGTATTGGAAGTTTTGATATTGCTATATATTTATTTGAAAAAAATGGAATTTGCATTCTTAAATTGAAAAACAAATTAGAAATCATAATTTATTCAATTCATACATCTTTCTTTCGTATAGGTAATTGCAGCTAATAAGTAAAATGCGCGAAAGAATAATGAATTAAAAAATCTTTCCAACTAAGTACCATGAGGTTTTGCGTAAATTTACTCTAGCAAGTTTATTCCAAACGTTGGTCATCATTTCACCCGAATACCAAAACTAAACGCCGATAATTTCCTTTAATTGACTGAGCCGAGTTTTAAACCATTTGATCTTGTCATTGATCATTAAACTTCACAGAGGTAGCACTAACCGATAAATCAAAAAGCATTCCGGCATCTATGTCGAAAATAAAACCTTATAGGCTATCAAATTAGCCTTAAGTCTTCTGAAGGCTTGTGTTCGTTGTTTTGTCACTTTTAGTCATTCTTTATAAAGCATACCTTTGATCGCAGAAATCGCAGAAAATGTATAAAAATCCATCAGTATTTTCTGTGATGATCTATGAATCCTTCTTCTTGGAGTTATAATATTTTATGGTAGGTCCAACGTCGGCCTTTTATGGTTCAATTTTAAATAACACAGATATCTATATAAACAATTTATACTTTATCCATATCTGGAATATTTCTAAGATGGGACGATAATATAGACAATTAGCAGTA